AGGGCTCAAATGATTGAAAAGAATTAATTTAGGACATAAATGGTCATGGAATCGATTATTATTTTTAAAAAATAAAATGTTGTTCAATTTTATTTAACTAATATTTTTTGTGAAGAAAAAAACATCAAAGATTAGCAATAAAATTAACAAAGAATTAAATAAATCAAAAAAGGTGGAATTTTAGGTCCAAGCAAGATTGATGGCTTTCAATCATTCTATCCCTATATTCATACATTTTATCATTTCGGATTCATTATTCATCTATCCTTGAGATTTGTATTTTTGGCATAATCAATTCTAAAAAAATTCTTAAAGCTTCTTAAAAGGAAAATATGTCACCGTATAACTTTTGACATAGTTATATTTTGAATAACAATCTTTAAGCACTAATTGATGTTAAATTAAGAAGTTTTCTCTTGGGAACTACTCAAAGTAGTTATTCAAAAAATGCATCATTTCCTTTTTTAATGGTTTCCTTCTCAAGAGTGATTTGGGAAATATTAAAAATGAGTTTTCATTTTTTTCTTAGAAGTTCGAAATAGTTGTGCTTCTACTTAAATCAAGTAAATCAAGACTCAAGATCCCGTTTGGTGACTCATGTTTTTTTTTATATTTCAACTTTTTTACCAAACATTTAATTTTGATTTCACGTTCTGAATATTATAATTTTAAAAAAGTAAGATTTGATTTACTTTTCTAACTGAAGTGGCTGAAGTTGTAGATAACGATTATATATATATATTAGTAATAGAATATATTTTAAAATTTTCCTAATTAAGTAGATTTAGCCACCTCATCCGCTTAGTCCAGAACTTGATCAATTTTAGTTTTACCAAACAAGCTCTTAAAGTTGACAGCTGGTAAAGTAATGCTTTAATAAATTGCTTTTTTTTATTAAATAACTTTTTACAAATTCGTAGTACTATTAACTTTAATTTTAAATTTTTAAAATCTTTTTTCCCTCACATTCTATCAATTTTTATTATTAAGTACTTTCTTTAAAATTACTTTAAAATAGTGTTTTTTGAATTAGAAGAAATCACTAATGCTCCCTTATATGCTTACATAAATATTGATTATTGATGTAAATCTAAAAGATTCAATAATCACTCCTTTCATCTCAAAATCAATCAATAGTATAAACGTAAACCTGATTATTAATTGTTTGAATTGAGAATAAAATATTTTAGATGGATAAAAAAGAAAAGTAGATATCGAGATGAAGAGCAAATCCATGAATAATTAAGTAACTCATCTCGTGCAACACACAGGTGAAAATCTAGTACATTTATTTAGGCACGTAAAACACACGGTGTTTTGTTTTATTCTAGTCTCTGCAGAGAATAAAGTAATTAATTATTGTATTCATTCAGGAGCAAAAGCCAGTACTCAAACCGAATTTTTCGCAAGAAGCTGCTGCTGGACAGCCCGTGCAATCATCGTCAGTGTCACAATACCCGCAGCCACCCTTCTTTGGCTTCTTTTTCTTCAGCTCAGTCTCTGATTACACCACAGATAATAATAACATAAGATCATTCAGAATTTGCATGTTTTGTTTGTCACATTTATTTCAATTTCAATCTCACCCAACCAAATCAGACTTGAATAAACAACAATAACAAAAAAAATAAAACAACGAACACCTTGAGAAGTAAGGGTCGGCATAAGCATTATTTTGGAGAGAAAACAAAGACTAATTGTTAAGTATTAACAGTTTAACATAGTAGTACTTAATCTAATTTCAGCAAACTCGCAAAACGTGCATATTTAAAAAACAAAAGTTTTAGAGATTAATGCATAACTCAAAGAAATAAACTCTAAGGAGCCCTTTGATAACTCAAATATTCGTCCATCAAACACATCATTTTTTATTTTACATGTTGAGTTGTGTATAGTGGCGGAACCACCTTATATCCAAAGTGTTCTCTTGGACACTCAAATTTTTAAAAAGTATATAAGAATATATGCGTAAATTCAGACTAATTATTCATTGAGGTTCAAAGTCATTGCAATCTAATAAATTTGGAGGCCCCCAGTTGGCCGGTTCAACATGTAAAAACAGGGCACCACATTAATATAACAAATTTTTTAAAAAATCTGAATCTAAATACTTATACTCAAATCAATTGAATATTGATTAAAAGAGAAATAAAAGAGTAAAAGGATCAATGAGAAAAGGGAAAATGAAAACTAATAATCCAGCCTTTTAGCAGTCTTCTTACAATAGTCTTACATTTTCGTTATTCAAGAATAATCCGACCTTTGCACCCCATCTTCATTCGCTGGTCCCTGATCGGTTCATGACTTGCTATTCGAAGTTATTTTCTTATCTTTGCAAACCATTATACCATAAATCTTTCACAAAGATAATATTTTGCAAAGATAAGAAAATAATTTGGAATAGCAGATCATTAACCGGTCAGGGACTAGCGAATGAAGATGGGGTGCAAAGGTTGGATTATTCTTGAATAACGAAAAGGTGGGACTATTGTAAGAAGACTGCTAAAAGATTGGATTATTAGTTTCCATTTTTCCATGAAAAAATGGTGGATCTATATTTTTCTTCCTTACTTGATAACTATATTTTACAGATTAGTACTAATATATATTATTACTATATAATATTAATAAATTTTCAAAATTTTGGGTCCCATAAATTTGGAGGTCCTGTTCTAGATAACCTATTGAACCCCTAAAACGGCTTTGTTCAAAGTTTTAATTCTAGAAGGAGCTTGTACACTCAAAACCAAAATCCTAAATCCGCTACTGGTTGTGTACCATTTAAAATGAGAAATTACCTCATTATATGACTAAAAGTGATTACCTGCTTCACAATATGACTTAGGACGTGTTTACTGCACTGCTAAAGTCACAGTTAGATTTGCAAAACATGCGAAGTAAACACGCAAACTGTTTAAAAAGCTGCTTACTAACCGCAAGGGGCCGGGTGCTTAAAGTGTCGCTTACTAAGCATACCACCCTCATGTATTAATTAAGTGGCACTTTAAATTTTTCCACTTTCCGAATTTACCCCTACCCTTAACCCCTTATTGTTAACCCCACTACTACCCCTAACCCTACCTCTAACCCCCATATCCTACCCTAACCAAACCCCGACCTTGACCCCATCCTCTAACAGTGCCCATAACCCCCACCCCCCACCCTATACCTACCCCCTACCCCTAGCCCCTTACCACCCTACCAGTGGATCATACCCCTTACCCACCCACGTACCGATACCACCCCCCACCCACCCCATTGCTGCCCCGGCCACATGCCCTACCCAGACCCAACCACCACCCCGACCCTACTCCCAACCCCAATCCCACCCGACCCAACCCAAACCCTGGCCCGAGCTCCGCAACCCTACCCTAACCTGACCCACCCCTACCCCAAACACCCACCGACACCCTACCTTACCCTAACCTGACCCACCCCGACCCCACCCCCCGGGTTTAAGGGCATACGGAGTGGCCCCTGCGTGTTATATTATATGAGTATGTACTTGTGTACATGAATGTCTTTTGTCTATATATGCATAGAGTTAATTTGGACATTTTAATGTTAAGCGGTGTTTGAAATCCTTTGAAGTAAACATGAGCTTACAACACTGGTTATTTTATGCGTTGCTTATTAACGTCAGTCTTAATAATCACTGTTTAGTAACCCGTGAAGTAAAGGTGTCCTTAGATTTTTATTTTCCTAAACTATAACTTACACACATGTCTAGCCATGCATGTTACTTATTGGGAAAAGTACATAAAAGGTACTTGTGGTTTGGGCCGTTTTCATATAGGGGCACGCGTTTCATTTTTTTTAACAAAGTGAGACATGTGCTTCAATTCCGTTATTACAGCAGGGGCATAGCGTCTAACGTCGTTAGAAAATTTAACCCCGATTTTCAAAAGTCTCTGAAACATTAAAAGAATAATACTGGGAGGTGCGCCTTGTCAAGGAGACCAATAAACTATTGTTCTCTTTGAATTTTTGGCTCTATTTGGATTAAGTTTTAAAAATGAATTTGTTAATATCACTTTTCCGGCGGATTTGATGGCGACATGGTGGCAGGAAACAAAAAAAAAGATAGTTTGTTGGTCTCCTTGACGAGGCGCACCTCCCAGTATTTTTCTTTTAATGTTTCAGAGACTTTTGAAAATCGGGGTTAGGTTTTCTAACGGCATTAGATGTCATACCCCCTCTGTGATAACGGAATTGAAACACATATCCCACTTTGTTAAAAAATGAAACATATGCCCCTATCTGAAAATGGTTCAAACCACAAGTACATTTTCTGTACTTTTCCCTTATTTATTATAGGGGTGTCATGTCCGACCATGTTATTTGTTTTGGGGCAGTTTTTTTGTTTTTTTTTTTACTTTTTAGTCATATGGATGGGTAAAAACAAATGTATATATAGTCATATTTTGTAAGTTTTAATAACTTTTTTACCCATAAATTAGGTTATAGTTACTTTTCAAACTGAATTAAATGATCATTTTAATTATATATTTTACTTCCTCAGTCCCATTTTGTAAGATATCTTTCATATTCACTTGATCAACACAAATCACTCTCAATCTCTTATTTTATTTATCAATTTTTCATCAAATTTGATTATGGTTTTTGCGACATCGTAAAACATTTAATGTAGTTTCTGAATATGTAATTTTTTTTCTAAAAATAATTTGAGTGCGGACAGGGTTCCATTTGTTTTAACATCGGTCAAACATCGTAAACCGTAATGTATCCTACCATTCGGGACATAGGGAGTAATATAATTATTCTTTACTTTTTTATTCTTTACAATTCGGGTCATATCTTGTCTAATTTCAGCAGATTCTTCGATCCATTCGGATTCTTTTAAACTTTTTAGAAAAATAAACTTCTCGTATTTAAAAAGAGTATACAGAGTATAAAAGAGGGAGTAATAATTATACGGAGTGTTATTCACAGAAAATTGGGACAGCTAAAGAGGGAGTAATTAGGTAGGTACTATAAAGGTTTGATGAATGATATTTTTGATAATAATGTTCTGGTTACATGAGAGCTTTATAGTACAAGAGTCATTCTCTTATCATGACTCTCAGGAAGATAAGTACAGCCAGTGTACGTATAAGATAAGTACAACTAGAATATGTACAAGATAATTACAACAATAAATGAATAAATAATAATAACTAACTAAATATTATCCTTTACACGCCCCCGCAAGATGGAGGATCCATTGGAGACTCCAATCTTGGACCTAAAGTGAAGAAATAGGGCCCGACCCAAGGGTTTAGTTAGCATATCTGCACGTTGATTTTTGGAAGAAACATGAGAAACCATTAAAGAACCATCTGCAACAAGATCACGAACGAAGAAATAATCCAAGGAGAGATGCTTCATGCGAGAATGAAAAACAGGATTCCGACAAACATAGGTAGCACTCAAATTATCTGTAAACAGCTTGGGAGGTGTAGAACAAGTGACCTGCAATTCAGTTAATATATTTTGGATCCAAAGAACTTCAGCTGTAGCATTAGCAATGGCTCGATACTCAGCCTCGGTAGAGGATCGAGACACAGATTTTTGTAAAGCGGACTTCCAAGATATAATATTAGATCCTAGATAAATGATATATGCAGTGGTAGAGCGGCCGGATGTAGACTTGCCACCCCAATCAGCATCAGTAAATGCTGTAAGAGAAAGACTTGATCCTGGGCGTAAAAATAAGCCATGACAGATAGTACCCTGTAGGTAACGTAACACACGTTTAGCTGCCAACCAGTGAGCGTCTAAGGGACCATGCAGGTATTGAGATAAGCGATTGACTGCAAAGGAGATATCCGGACGTGTGAGACTGAGGTATTGAAGAAGACCAAGGAGCCGACGATAATCAGAAATATCCACTGCATGAGATGCATTAGCCGGAGGTAGATGCTCCGTAGAAGCCATAGGAGTGGATACAGGTTTAGATCCGTTCATATGAAATTTGTCTAGGATATCGGAAATATATTGAGCCTGTGATAAAAACATACCAGAAGGAGTGGAGACAACCTCAATTCCTAGAAAATGATGAAGTGGACCCAAATCTTTCAAAGAAAACCGGGAAGCAAGCAGGTTTACAAATTTGGTAAGATATGAATCGTTGTTGCCTGTGAGAACAATGTCATCCACATATACGAGAAAAATCATAGTTATGCCATTGACCGTATAGATGAAGAGTGATGGATCAGCTTTAGACTTTTGAAACCCAAACTGAACCAAAAAGGTAGAGAGCTCAACATACCAGGCCCGGGGAGCTTGTTTCAAGCCATAAAGGGCTTTACGGAGACGGCAAATATGAGTGGGATGCTTAGTGTCCACGTATCCAGGCGGTTGATTAAGATAAACAACCTCTTGAAGTGTACCATTAAGGAAGGCGTTATTGATGTCAAGTTGTCGAATAGACCACCCATGATTCAAGGCCAAAGAGAGGACAATACGAACAGTTACAGGCTTCATAACGGGACTGAAAGTCTCAAAATAATCCCTTCCAGCCTCTTGAGAGTAACCTTTAGCGACAAGACGGGCTTTGTACCTGTCCACAGAGCCATCCGGTTTTCGCTTGATTCGAAAGATCCATTTACATCCAACAAGAGGTTGACCAGTATAGGGAACAAGATCCCAGGTCCCATTGCGCTGTAAGGCAGAAAACTCATCATCCATGGCCAGCCTCCAGAGTGGATCCTTGAGAGCTTGTGTGACAGTCCGGGGTTCAAGAGTAGAAGGAGGAGAGTGTACTGTGGAAACATTAATAAGAGACGAATTAAAGTATTTTGGGTTGGGATGTTTACTACGAGCAGGACGACGGACAGATGCTGAAATTGGTGGGGGAGTTGAGTGGCTTGAGGGAATCAGTGAGGAGGGAATTGGAGCATTGGCCGTATGGGAATTTTGATCGTTGGGAAGATTTGGACTAAGGGATAAAGATGGTTGACTGGCTGGTGGGTTATTTAATGATTGATTAGGAATTATTGGGAGAGTGGTGGCTGGGTTATTAATTGATGATGGGGCAGGGGAAATGGATGCCACAATTTGAGGAGAGGAAGTGGGGATAAGGTTGTCAGGGGTGGATGCACCGGATGTAAGTTTTTGGGAAATAGGGGAGCGGATAGGAATAAAAGGCCCAGATGAGGAGGATGACATAGGAATTGTGGGAGAAGAAATAGATGGATAAACATGAGGGACAAATTTAACATGACGAGAAATATATAATTTATTAGAATTAGGATCAAAACATTTATAGGCAGACTGAGAAACAGAATATCCTAAAAAAATGCATGGGACGGATCGAGGTTGAAGTTTATGAGAGGTATAAGGACGCAACCAAGGAAAGCATAGACACCCAAATGGTTGTAATTTATGATAGTTGGGAGGAGATTGAAACAGACACATATATGGAGACTCATAATTTAGTAACGGAGTAGGAAGACGATTGATAAGATAGACAGCTGTTTGAAAGGCGTGAGGCCAGAAAGAGAGGGGAAGAGAGGCACTATGAAGTAATGAGAGTCCTGTTTCAACAATATGACGATGACGTCTTTCGGCTGTACCATTATGTTCAGGAGTATGTGGGGGTGTAGTGAGATGAGATATACCCATTAAATTCAGAAATGGGAGTAATTTAAGAAACTCCCCACCATTATCGGAGTATAAAGCCACAATGGTATTATGAAAACGATTTTCAACTAATCGTTTAAATTGAGGAAATATTATAGAAACATCGGACTTCTTTTTGAGAGGATACAACCAATTATATTTAGTAAAGTGATCCACAAATATGACATAATAGCGATACCCATCACAAGAGATTTGTTTAGTACTCCATACATCACTATAAATAAGCTCAAGAGGACGAGAACTGGTGAGAGAATTAACAGAAAATGGCAATTTGTGACTTTTATTAATATTGCAAGAATTACAATAAAAATTGCTAAGAGAATGAGAAGAAACGTCCAAATTACATTTATTCAATAAATGAGCTAAAACTTTCTTTGATGGGTGACCAAAGCTATGATGTAATTGAGACAACGAAGATAAACTGGTTGCATGAAGACTGGGTGGACAAGTTTGCGGTGCGTAGTAGACTCCATTGATATTTTCACCTCTCATGAGCGGACTCCCGGTGGTTTGGTCCTTAACAAGAAAATAAGACGGGAAAAATTCCACAGAAACACCATTAGTTTGACACAATTTGGAAACTGAAACAAGATTTTTGTGGAGTTTAGGAACACATAAAACCTGAGTGAGAGATAAAGGATGAGTAGATGTGAAAACCTGGGTTTTACCAATGTGAGAAATAGGAAGACACATACCATTTCCAAGACGGATTTCATCCGGACCATCATACGTAGAGAACTCTTGCAATGCATCCACACTAGAGGTAGCATGGTGAGAAGCCCCTGAGTCAAACAACCATGGCTGAGACGTTCCAATGGGAGAACCATGAGTCACAGTGGTATTAACAACCGGAGCTGCCGTAGTAATGTGATTCTCGCGAAGGAACCGGGCGAGTTTGCGGCAGTCCTTGACCACATGACCTGCAAAATTACAAAACCGGCAGATTGGAGTGGATCGGCCAGTAGTAGATCCGGAGCGAGGAGGACCATGAGATGGAAGGGGACCACGTTGACCACCTTTGGAATATGTGGAACGTGACCCACCTGGAAAGGGAGCCTCACGAGGTCGAGACGCGGCTGCAGAGAATCCTTCTGGAGTATGACGTTGGGTAATGTTTGCAGTTGCTAGGAGAGTGGACGTAGCCTCTTCTGATTCCTTGAGGAGTCTTTCATGATCAGTGAGAATATTAGATAACTCCAACATGGAAGTGGCAGTATTACGAACACGCAGTGCACTAATAATAGGACGATAATCATCCCCTAACTGATTAAGGATTGAAAGGTGCAGATCAGTGTCTGAAACAGGGCATTGGGCTAGCGCAAGTTCACCGGCAATTGCCTGCATATCCTTTAGATAATCCGAGATGGAACGATTACCTCGCGGATTACGAGAGAGTTTACTCTTGAGGGCCAAGATGTGTCCCGGAGAGGCGTTGGCGTAGCTATTAAGAAGAGTGTCCCAAGCATCCTTCGCTGTGAGAGCGGAGGAAAGGAGCGACTGAACCGGATCGGTGCAACTGCCAATAAAGGCGCTAAGCAATATTTGATCTTGCCGATACCAAATAGAGTAGCAAGGGTTTAAGATCAGTTTGTCGTCATCAGAAAACTTGGATGGTATGGTGATAGTACCATCAACGTATGGAAGGAGATCGTAACCCACAAGTGTGGCTTCAACCTGACGCCGCCAGATCGGAAAATTGCTTGCAGACAATTTCACAGGGAAATTTGTGGGAGCATTGAGATGCACAAGGGTGGTGGTGGTGGTGATTTCCATTGAAATTGGATAGTCAAAGCAACGAAAAAAAAAGGATGAATAGAAGCAATTCTATATGGCTCTTGATACCATATAAAGGTTTGATGAATGATATTTTTGATAATAATGTTCTGGTTACATGAGAGCTTTATAGTACAAGAGTCATTCTCTTATCATGACTCTCAGGAAGATAAGTACAGCCAGTGTACGTATAAGATAAGTACAACTAGAATATGTACAAGATAATTACAACAATAAATGAATAAATAATAATAACTAACTAAATATTATCCTTTACAGGTACCAATGGCGGGATCAAATCCGACACAATGACCCGTTTCAGATCCAGCAACGTCTTTGATACAGAAATGGCGGCCATTATTAGCAGCGTTGGATTTGCAGTCATCGTGAGAGTTGCAGACCTGCCCACTCACAATCAATTGCTCCTTGTTTGTTCCTGCGCTTATTTGCGCCTCTATCAAACCCTTTCCCAACACTGCCAACATACATTCAATCATTCAAACAAACAAAGCTTATATAATTAGCTTACTGATATTAATTCATAATCATATCCGTCCTCCAGCTTAGCTTCAAAAATTACGATCCTGTTTGTGACACTCAAATTGACTAATATAGTGAGTGATTCATCTAAATTTATAAAATTATAGTTGGATTGTCTGAACTCTGAAGTGGTTGATTATGCTGATTTATGAAAAAATTAATATTCTTGTAAAAAAACCTTATTATATTTAAATATATTTTATTAACAAAGTAAAAACAAAAATATATGGAAAGATAAATAACATGGTCTTCTATAATAATTTCAGTCAATGCAACCTGAAAATCAAGGACCCCAAATGGACTCTAAGACATGATGCATAGACCATCCAGGGGTCAAATGCATAAATGATACCTTAGCTATTGGTAATGTTGCACTTTGGTAACTTAACTCTTAAATGAATCAAAATGACACCTTAACTTTAGATAAATGCTTCGAATTAAGATGTTATTCAAATTTTCGACCAAAAAATCACACGTGGCGGCTATAATTCTATGCATAAAATCTACTTCACCTCATTTTTGTCCATATGATCACTATAGAGTGACTCTACACATTGAATTTTGATCGTCATAAAGGATATTTTGGTCGAAAATTTGAATAAAATATCAATTCGAAACATTTATGTATAGTTAAGGTACCGTTTTGATTCATTTAAGAGTTAAGGTACCAAATTGCAACATTATCAATAGTTAAAGTACCATTTACGCATTTGACTCGACCATCCAGTTAAGCAAAATTCAATCAGGGATATTTAGAACTGATTATGCTTATGCTTTTAATAAACATAGGCAAAATCAGAATTGTTTTTTAGTCTGACCCTCATCTTCTAAAAGATTGTTTTTAGGAGTAATTTGGAGAAGTCAAAAGTACTTTTACACTTTCAATGAAACATCATCTATTTGCTTGTGCTTCTAAATGTAGTTTTTTTTGAAGTATTTATTCACTTTCACTCAAACACCTGATTTTGCTCATAAAAAAATACAAACAATTTTAAGTAGATTCAAACACCCATCAATTGACATCTGGTTGATGGATCTGTATGATCGAATTTATGCACTGAAGAAAAGAGTAAGAGTACGTGAAAGAAGAGTTCGAGAAAGAGAACTTACAAGATGCAAGAACGAAAAGGCCCAAGAAGAACGCCAGCATCTTCATTGAAACTCTCTTCATTTATGTTGCTTTGCGCAGCTGCTCAGAAATGAGTAATAACATGAGCGGAAGCAAAACACCCACCAGTTAAATTTATAGGTGCACGGACTACTATATTTAATTAGATGTGTTTAATGAGAGTAATTTTCTGGTATGTTAAATCCTTATATGAATTGATTTGGTCAGTTAGATGTCTACATTATGTGTATTTTAACAACGACGAATAAGGATGACAATGGAGACGGGGCCACACATAGGGATGTCAAAGTTAAAAACATGGGTGGTAGGTGCTAAAAGAATTGAATACTAAGAATTGAATTTGAATGTGATCATCATTTAGAGGTGTTTGGAATTGATTTTGTTTTTGTTTCTTTTCTAAAAACTTAAGTATAATTAGAATCAATTTTTCAGAAGTTGGTCTTCCCCAACGACTGTTTAACGGCAACGTTAATGGGTGGGTAAAAGTAAAGCTAAAAGTTGAAATTTGAGTTTATTTGGTCCATTACAAACCCGAGTGTCATATCCGAGATTCATTAAAAATGTTAGTGTCATTTTTGGCCTTTTTAGCTCCCTTTAAATAAAGCCTAACTTAAATATAAATTTTCATTACTTAAAAGTAGCTTGTAAAAATAAGTTGTTTTGGTTGAACTGATAGACATGACTATCCCAGTGAGTGATGATCCTTGCATGTAAAGATCAACTTATTCTATTGGAGGTCAACTTATCGTTTTTTTAAAAGGAAACTGACTGGTTATATTAGAATCCAAGAAGCAACGACATTACAAACTTTTCAATACTGAACACCCTCCTGCTACCAAACTTACCATAACCCGAAGGTCTCTTCACCCTCATTAGACATAGAAACGATCACCCTAACTAGAGCGGATCGAGTCGCTAACCATCTGAGAGATTTGAAGATTATCTCGGCTTTTGAAGCCATCTTACTTCTTAGCATAAAATACCTACTCACCTCAAATGCAAACTAAACGAGCCTGTTACTGCTTGCCAAGCTCCATTAATCTTGATCCCTTCTAACTGAGGCTTTCCACAAATAGTCAAAGTTCCAACTCGTGCATTCCATAACGGTGGTTCAGAAGGAGGCCGGACCATCATGACCGCTATGAAGCCTTCGTCCTTCAACGTTAACCAATTGCACTTCATTCTCTTCCATCATCCTCATCTCATAAGCATTAAGCAAGACATCTATCTCCTTTTACCCGTGGAATGAGTAGCCCTCCAACATGGAAGCCATCCTGCAAACAAGATCCTGCTAGCCTTTGAGATGAGACGCCGCCGAGCCCAGTTAATTCCAACTGAGCGAAGAAAGCTACGAACAAAACATGATCAACCCGTACAACTTTGGACCCTTCAAGTAAATACCACCATGCCAATATGCACGATGTAATAAATAAGGATTCTTCTTGTTGTACCCACTATTGTACCCACTTTTGTACCCACCATGTATTCATTGACATATTTTTGTCTATGACCGGGATTCACAGACAAAAAAAAAACTTCTCACAGACATGGTGGGTACAAATGTGGGTACAATAGTGGGTACAAACAGATTTTTCCAATAAATAATCGTGTGTAGAATTGGTTTACGGTCAGAAACTTTTTAGTAGTGTTAGGATGTTTTCTTTTGGACTGTTTTCAGTCCCAGACCAGACCAGACCAGACCAGACCAGACCAGACTTGGACAGTTATAAATACACAGAGACCAGACGTTTACCAGACCAGACCAGACCAGACCAGTTCAGACCAGACCAGACCAGTTCAGACCAGACCAGACCAGACTTAAATAGACCAGATCAGACCAGATCAGGCCAGACCAGACCAGCAAATTTCAGTCCAAAAGAAAACATCCTTATACTCCGTATAAAATAAATAACTGGACATTTGTTTAATTTGTTGAAATATTTGTATGGTAAATTAAATACATAGTATTATTAACTCCGTCCCACTTTTGTGTTGCCCATGAGTCAGCGAGAGAGGCAATTTTTAGTGTTGATTGTGACATGATAGAAGTTTTTGATGTTCAGTCAGTTTATTGCATGCATGTCTTTTGGCAAAGGATGAGTTGAATTAATTGATTATAGAGTTTATTGCATGTCTTTTGGCAAAATCTGATCCATTTAACTTTGCCAAACTATTGAGTGTGAAATTAAAATATAAAAAAAATTATGTAGTTGATGTTTGTGAAGAGTAGAGTCCACAAATTCATTTTTTTTTAAAAGAGAGTGACAATTTTTTGGGACAAACCAAAAAAATTGACAAGATCCGGTGGACGCCGAGACAATTGATGGGGAGAAAACTAGAGGACTCGGCTAATTATTTGCCGGGCCGGCTCAATAAATTAGGAGACCCGGTGAAGTCACGAAAAATAGGCCTTATATTAAATCAATACAATATCAACAATCAACCCTAAGAAAACCCAAAAAACTACAAACAAATGTGAGATTGAGAAGTGATCACTTTTTCGAACTTGAACAAATAAAATTAGTAAAAAAATCTAAAATTGAAAATGAACGAATGAAAATAGGATAAGAATGAAAAAGTGAATTTTTTTTACCTTTGGTTGGATAACCGGAATATTTGGATCATTCGGGCAAATAAAGTAATGAGCTATTTTAAAAAATAACTACCCTATATATTTACACTATATAGATTTTACAAAAAAAAAAATGGGCCTTATATTTTTTGAGGTCCTGTACAAAGGCATGTTTTGCCCGCCCTCATTTACGACCCTGCTTATTTGTGAAATATCACAATGATAGTTGATACCAAACAAAATTACTACCTGAATAACTTCCCACTGTTAGGTGCTGAGTGCTAATTTCTTAACTAATAAATGGTTAACCACAGCTGAAATAAAATTGTTGATTCTTGAAGGTTGACTATATAAGGGGTGTTTGGATCTGATTCTCAAAACTGATTCTGCTTTATCAGGGAGGAGAAACAGAAACTGTAGTGTTTGGGTAAAATTCCAGAAACACTTTTGGTGCTCTAATTTACTCTCAGAATCGGGTTTTTTAGAATCTGGGGGGTACCCTAGCTTCTGAAAACTGATTCTGATTCTGCTTCTGCTTTAAAAAAGAAGCAGAAACAGAATTAGTTCCAAACACGCCCATAGTGCCAATCATTTATGAGTTTAAAAATATTTGGATTTAGACTTGTTTCATCAAATCAAACAAAACCAATTCTAATACCCGGAGTATACTAAATCAATCTGACTCGACCAACATCAAATAATCAGGTGGCGGTGGTGGCGGTGGCGGTGGCGGTGGTGGTGAGGATGAGGACGACGACGACGGTGACGGTGGTGGTGGTGGTAGTGGCGGCGGCAGTGATGGTGGTGGTGGTGACGATGATGACGATGACGATAATGACGACGACGACGACGACGACGATGATGATGATGATGATGATGATGATGATGATGATGATGATGATGATGATGATGACGACGACGACGACGACGATGACGACGACGACGACGATGATGATGATGATGATGCTGATGATGATTATCATACTTGCTGCATGTAAAATGATGAGATAGAAGAAAACTACTAAACCTGTGAAACAATGCTCGCGGAGCTTGCTTAAGACCATAAATGACTTTTCGCAAACGACATAAATGATTAGGAAACAAAGGATGAATAAACCCCGCAGCTGACGCATGTACACCTCCTGAGTAAGATGACCATGTAAAAATGGATTCTTAACATCCAACTCACAAATGACCCAGCCAAAAGAAATAGCTAGTGTAAGAATAATACAAACAGTCAGTGGCGGAACCAGCCCGGAGATCTTGGAGGGGCACATATTAAGAAGGAAAAGGTCTTCGGCAAGGCGGGTGGCTTGCTGTGACCCTAGATTTCCGGTCTCCGAAGAGTTTGGTGGTGCTAAGAGGAAGTGCCGAAGAGACTGCGACGTTATGTACTATGAGTCGTATGGAAGTTGTCGCGTCCGCCTTCTAAGTCGTTGTGCATGGCTTCCGAAAGGCGGCACGACGAACAACTTTTTATTTTATTTTTATTTTTATTTCACTGGCTTGAAGATTATAATAACGTTGGAAAAAAATACATGTATATTATTAACAGAGTTTCATCTAACAAAATTATGACTACTTATATTTTTAGATAAAAATATATCTAGTCATTATGTACTAATAATTGAACAAGGGTCACTATAATGTATTTAAGAGTGACCGTTAAGAACTAGTCACTGAATATGTAAATTTTTTAGAAAATTTTAAAATAGATTATATTTTTTCTTTTAAATTTAACTTAGTACTCAGCAAAAAGACTTTTGGGATGCAATATTATACCGTCCAAGCTGCACCATATAATTGTACATTCATTCTCCGTATCAAAGTTAATCCACCAATTTCAACCCCACTCCAGTACCCCACAAAGTCCAGCAAATCTATCCAAAAAATTTCTTATCCGTATTCCAAGAATGAGCAGCAGCCAAGACGTCAAACTGCAGGGCCGGACACTACAAAAAAAACACGGGATTGACAGGGATTTTGGCACAGAATTGGCACGGATTTTGGCAGGGATATGCCAAATCCGTGCCAAAAACACTTTGACACGAGTTATTTGGCATGAAAAATTGATAAGTCCGTGCCAAATTCCGTGACAATCTCGCCTTTTTTTTTGTAGTGGGATATATATACACGTATATATATACTCATTACTCCATATGTATAAACAACCGCTAGGCCGTAGGGGCACAAGCCCCTCCAGGCCTCTACATAGTTCTGCTGTTGCGAACAGTGGTGGGTTTAATGACAGGACTAAAAGTTTACACTTGCCTGCTGATTAAACCCATGAGCAACTAGATGAGCTTTATGATGCTCAATAGACCCATCAGAGTTATATTTAGTCTTATAAATCCACTTGGTGCCCACACCATTTTTAGTATTATCAAACAGAACGAAATCCCAAGTATTATTAGAAATAAGAGCATTAAATTCCTCTGCCATTGTCTCACGCCATTTTAAGTGTTTATTAACTTCGGTAAAACAAGTAGGGTCAGCTGATAAAACAACAGTGTTTAGATTAAAAATTATTTTTGGTTTAAAAATTCC